GTTGAGTAGGTACTTTAGTAGGGGAATCCCTGCTTTACAAAATTGCGTCCTTAAGTAACTGAAACGCAAAAAAAAATTATTGAATCAACAATTTTTTACAACCCAGTACATTTAGTTATTTTACGTTAGAACTATAATACTAAGTACTTGTTGTTTACAATTAGTTCATTTTATGAGTCATCTAATTTCCGCATGCATTGCTTCGTTTTAGTACTTTAAATTCCAGAAACAAAATGCTCAAAATGCGCAGTACTGTTTTAAAGTTTAATAAGATTAATTAGATCGGAATGAAGCTTAAATGGTACACAACGATGGCGCAATCACTAACACAATGTTTTCATTCAGTACTCCCATTATGATTCATTTTTATTTAAAAATAAAATTTTAGGACAGTTCAGTTTCGAATGGAATTAAGAATTATCGAATACCAATTGAATTCTTTAATTCTTTCAGAACGGAGACACTACCGACGACGATTTAGAACTAAGTTCTGAAGATGAAGCTGTTGCCAATGATTTAGACATGCATGCCCTTATTCTGGGTGGTTTGCATCAAGAACAAGAACCTTTAAAAACAGCTGAAGAAGTGATACAAGAAATTGACGATATGATGCAAGAAGATGATGTTTCGTTCGATCGATCTCCAGATTCCAGGGATTATTACTACGAGGCTAACGTAGCTCTTGAAAAAGCTAAAGAAGTTCTTAGTTCACCTCTTTATGAAGACAGTAAGTGTATGTCCCATCTAAATAGAAATATAAATAGCGGATAAATTGGTTCTTACTTATAATTTTCGTACTAAACTTAAAGATTATACCTCAGACTGAGACGTAGAAGTTCTTTAATAAAAATTTTACATGCCTATATTAGATAGTACACAATAATTGTTTCTCGGCTTCTTTTTGGTGCTTATTGTAAAGAAAGGCTTACATAGACTTAGCAGTCGTTGACTGTTATATGATAGGGCTGATTACAAAGCATGAAGTGATGACGTGCTTTTCTCCTTTTATACCGTTTCCTCTCGCACAACTTCTCTTTCTGTCTAATCTGCATGTAATACAATACCTGATTACTCAACATTTGCATTATAATGTTGAAATATAAATGCTCACAAGAGCATAGTAAGAATGCATTTGAAAAGAAGAATCGGGACAATTCATCCTCGGCGATCTTCTTCTTCTTCTTTTTCTTAAGTAAAACGTGACCATCGACACTGTTATTTTGTTGCAGAATTGCGAGATCTCAGCTTAACTCAACTAAATGAATTGTACATGGAATTAGAAGTATTAATTCGAGAATTTTCCGAAACATTAATTGCCGAACTGGCACTCAGGGACGAACTAGAATACGAAAAAGAATTGAAAAACACATTTATATCCCTCCTGCTGGCCGTTCAAAATAAAAGAAGACAGTACCATGTCGAAAAGAAAAGGAGTTCCAAAGGGAGCTCTGGCCGTCCATCCAATGGATTGGATGCTAAGGTAGGAATCTATGATAAAACTTAAATGTTACCAAAAGTAAAAAACATTAAATTCTTGATCAGCAATTTATCGATATTTCGCCACTTATTAGTTCTCATCAGCACGTTATAGTCAACTTCGATAAATGGCATCTGAGTTTTCGATTTGATATCTAGATTAGTGGCCAAGAACTTAATGTTCTTTATAAAGGGATTTACGTGTCCATCGCATATGAATGTATAAGCTGGAATATAAAATTTTATTGCTAGATTCTTTACAAAATTCTATGTTATTTACATGATATTTCTATTTTTTCAGTATCTAACAACAGTTATCCCTTACCACTTAGACAGTGGCCCCCCGAATAATCAGACTCTTCAAGTTCTCATCAAAAGTAAGATTAATAAAAAAGATAAAGCTATTCTGTTACATTTTGTGTTTTGTTTCTTTTCAGTTTTAAAAGCCATTAACGAAGATAGTCCAACAGTACCGACGTTACTGACAGATTACATATTAAAAGGTTTGTTAAGTAAATAATAGAACATTCCACATTGACTCATAACCATATAACTTATTCCTTAATTCTGCATTTGCGATAATTAAATGTCCCTTTTGTCTATTTTGGAGCTAATTTTACCCAAAAATTATCTGGGAGAACATTCCGATTTCCAACATTTTAGAATAATAAATTTGGACTAAATTAAGAGAATTGGTCATAAAAACACTAATTAGGAAAGTACTACTAAGTAATTACAATTAATTTAAAAAACTGCGAATATAAGACAAAAGGGGCAAAACAAAAATAATTAGAAAAAGCTTAGACCAAGAGAAGTTTTTAAACTGGTAAGCATATTTGTAAAAACATTGTGTGTGTATTGTGAGAGTCATTTGAAGTTAAAAATCGTGCATGGTTGGCGATGTGTAAGTGTCATAAATACCAGAGTTGTAATATAATTCGCATATAGGAAAAAATAACGAAACAGCCGGTACAGAATTGAGAATGTAACTGTTCACGTTTTATACTGTTTAACTTGCACATTTCTTGGTTTCTTAAATGAAAAACCCGCGGTGTGTTTTTTAAATAAGTTCGTATGACAACGCACAATTAATATATATTTGCCATTCTGACGAAAATTTGTTTTTAATACAGAACCAAAGTGTTATTTATGCATGTAGTTGTAATTTGTTAATTAATTATTTTACTGTGATCATGTCTACGTTATTTCTATATTCGTATGATGTTTAATATTTCAGAAAACTAAACATTGATAAGGATAATAACTTGAAGGGCACATTTACAAATATCATCGTAGTATTCTGATTTAAAACCAATTGAAAAATCAATTTCACTTGTATATAATTCAAATATGAGTCCAATAAAGGATAAGTCCAGTATTTTGCTCTTAAAAAGCATAATAAGCCTTTCACTCGAAATACGATATATACTGAAATATGAAAAATTTAAACAAAATCGTTTTATAAACTAAATTGAAGTATTTGTGTGCGAACGATGGAATAATGCAATGAAATTAATACGAAAAATGGCAATATTTCCTGAGAAGAATATTAAATGTGTAAAACCATGCAATTAAAATTGTACCACGTTACTACACAGCTATATAAAAGGTAAATTATTAAAGTGTTGAATAATAAACTTTTCATGCTTTTTGTGAGCAAAGAACGGGCCTTACCCTTTAAGTGCTAATGTAAAAACGTATTTTTTTACAAGCTGAGTTTATTATTAGAGGCAAGTACCTATGTAATTATTGATGTGGGATATGTATTATCGATTGTCGTCTAGGAATTTGTGATAAATGTCAGTAATCATTAAAATGATTGAATCTACAATAGATATATGCCTTTTTTTAAAAAAAGAACTGATTATTAAGAACACAAGAGAATAATATTTGTGCCAATTGGTGAAAAAGTGAACCTTTCAGTATTTTTTAAAGAATCTGCTGAAATATTAAGCACTGGTTAAGTAATGTCTGTTACATAACGAATGAATATCGTTTAGAACTCTGGTGTTAGTCATAAATTCATCATAGTACATTGTTAATGTAGTTTGCTTAGTTTCGTAGTCATTGCAGATATCAGAAACATATACTTCATTCATTTGTTTCCACTATTAAAGTGTAAGCTATAATAAGTGCATCGCAAGCACGATAGTAAGAGGAAGTGTAAAAAAATTTACTCATATTCTTTCTATACCTATTGAATAACTTCACAATAATTACATTCAATTTACGAAAAAGTCATTCCTCTTAATATTTGTTTATTTAGACCTTTTTATGTNTTCTTATCATCTTCATATGTGCATGGATGTCAACATATAAGTCTGCATTGTAGATTTGTGAAGTATATTTACTAACTTAACTTAAGTAATCGCGTTGGCAGCTGATAAAGGTCTTTGATTCAGACAGACGCAAAGCTGAACTCTGGCACTGTTGAAGGTGCATCTGCTACCAGCTAACATGCAAATTTAACATTATATACACGTATTCTGTTTTAAAATAAACCTCAAACATTCAGGGAGTCTCAATTGCACACACTTACACAAAATAAAAGAACCTGAATTCCTATTTGGTTTCTTATTATTGTGCATTTTATCACCTTTGTGTCTAAATTGTGTTTTAATAGGTTCAATACAGAATATAAAAAAATAATAACATCCGATTTCTTCTATAAATTAATTCGTACCTACTACAAACTAGTTAGATTCTTATTAATATACTGCCTCCATTAAGAAAGTTTGTTCATTACAATGGCCACTAATCCGTTTATTATCGGATGTTTTCCTCAGATTGACGTAGTTTTGTTCTAAAATCGTGAAATAAAGTTTCCCAGTTTTCTAGTTTCCTTTATGTTGAGTATGTTAACTTTGCGTCCATATCCAGTGTACGCGACATGTTATGAACTCTATTACTTTCGATCGAAGACGTAAATTGTCTCGACTTTTTGTACAGATTGAATGAATCGTTGTTTTGAACATCCTTCTTTTACATCCTTCATTTTAGCTAAGACAACGAACTATATACTTAGTTTTATTGATTCCTTTGGCCAATTAGCATACATTCATGAAATTAACCATTCCTTTTGTCTTACAATCTTACTTCTTTGTTGTATTTGGTTGGAGGCATTTTTTTTGATAGCATTGCTTAGAACGATCATAATCGTTTACTAGGTATCGACAGTTACCTATTGAAGCCGGAAGAATACAGACTCTTAGGAAAATATATTGAGATTATAGGAAATGCCACACTCGAAAATATTTCCGATAATTCCACGCGCGGGTTTGATCTCTTTCGCAGATCCTGGAAGGCTTTCATTTATAGTTTTTCAAAAGCTCTTGTCAGTATTTACTTCATTCCCATTGTTTTCATCATTCTTCATAATTTTTTAATAGGATCCAATCATAGGTGCTATTTATAGGTCGTGTTGGTATATTAACCTTGTATTTGAAAATAAGACCGTGAGTTACATGTTGGTCATAAAACCTTGGATAAATTTCCAAAAATAAATGGAAATAAATTCATTTGAGTATTTTAAAATTATTTTCTTTCTGTGAAACATATTCGAAATAAATAATATTAAAATGGCTTCTAAAAAGTCGTAATTCTGGTGCTAGAAATTTCAGTAATAATCTTTCGTGCAGTTGCAGCGTGCCCATACCACCTAATGATTCTTAAATAATCTTCAGAACCTTTTGGCACCGTTCTGTTTCTTCAAGCCAAGGTGAACGAGTCAGGAATAGCCTCCTACCACAGTGAATCGCACCAAAATCATTTTATGACCTAACCATATCAACAAAACATATGTTGATACCAACTGCTACCGTTGTTACAAAAGAAAGTTTAGCAAACATCAAAATTAATGGAATTGGGGTTGTCAGTTTGCGTTATGTATTTGTTTAGAAAGTAAAAAGAAAGAGATAATTAATGTGGTAACTTTCGATCTAAAACCGTTGTGCGTTTATTACCTATTACCTGAGCTTTAATTTTTATTAATTTACGCCTAGTCTTGCAAAAAGCTTCTCAAGAAAGACCATTAAGGACTACAATTGTATTTGATGAAATCATTAAACTACTAAAATAAGAAAAATAATGAAAAGAAAATTACTAGTAAAAGCTTTACAATTCCACGGTCTACTTCTAGACTTTCAGAAACAACCCCCAAATAAGGAGGTCTAACAATTTACACTAAAAAAATGTTTATAAACCCATTATAGTCTAAAGTATGAAACAACCAACAGCAGTACAATTTATTATTTTTTATTTAATCGTATTTGGCTTCATCGATTATATTTTCAGAATTACCTACGTAGTTTTATACATATATTAGTCTATTAGGTATCCGTTGTTCTATTTTAGGTAGAAACACGGCGTAGGTGATGCTAAGCTACTATTTTTAGTGATGTAGCTTAGTTGGAGACAATTCGTTTACGTTTACAAAATCAATAAATAATTATACAGAATTTCGATAAAAATTTAAAATGTCCAGTGTGATGTTATTGTAGTATTGTCTTTTTGTTTATTGAAATTGTAAATACCTGCTATTCACTCAAAAATTAGTAGGAAACTGCTATAATCTTTAATATTTGTCATACAAAATCACTACTGAAAACAAACTTCTACAGTGGGAGTAAAGTTTGCTACTAAAATATGTAAATTAATCTTATTAATTAATTCCATTACCAAGGTACCTAATTGACTAGTGATTTCTTGTTTTACGAATGGCATTTAAAAGTTTAAATAAAAACACCCATTACATCTACATTAACTGTAAAATGCGTAGGTATAAATACTTGTAACTTCCGGCATACAAAATTATGTCAGTATCACGCTATTAGTATTCAAAGCTAATACGTTTACATATTATAATTAGAAAAATTTGTGTCTGAGAAAATACCAGCCTACATATTATATATTACATTCATAGCATGTTATTTTTATATGAACATTCACAGAGAAAATGGAAAACGAAAATATACCTAAATATTAAAGCGATATTTACAATTTATCCCACCAGCCCGTTGCTTCATAAGTGAAAATAATAAAAATTACAATTTGGACCCGAATTTGTAAAAATAAAATCCCAACAGAAATAAATTTACTAGGTAGGGGAGACTGGGGCTGGTCGTGACAGAGGTAGGTCGTTACAGCGGCCACGGTGGCTAAACAAATAACGCTATTTTGACGTAAGAAAGACACAAATTATTATTCAATCACCAGTTAACACGTCTGGCGAACTAGTGGCACCAGCGTTTTTGTGAAAGGAGCCCTTACATATTGCCATCAAAACCGCAGGTTAGTAACATTTTCGTTTTTTCGTGATATTGATCTACAACCTCTTTTCCTTTATCGGGGTCTTGTTTAATGACCACAAGAACAACAATAAAAAAAAATAGTCCGATAAAAAATATAAAAGTATAATTTGGATCACACAAAAAAAACACTACACACAAACAAACACAGAAAGCAAAGAACAATAAGATAAATCAAAGGTACACCACAAAATAAACACACAGCAAAAATAACGTAATTAAATAGTATAGATGTAATAAACGAAAGGTAAAGACTTACTCGAAGGTTGACCGCAGAGTGGTTAGTATGGAAATTTAGGGGTTTATATACAGCTGAATTGTTAGTAAAAAGAGATAGAATATTCAAGAAGGAACAGTATGAACAGTAAAGTTGAAGGTACAGGTTTATAGCACTCAGAGCGAGCAATATAGAATTTTAGGAAAAGTAATTAAGGGAAAGTACAGCAATTAGTAAGGGGTGCATGCAAGTACAGGTGAAGATGAAATTCTAGGTAAAGGCTAACGATAGTAGAACAATAGAATCTAGGTTGAAAGGAAACAAAGGCATGCACAAGATAAGAAGTTGTAAGTCTACAAATAGATTTAGAAGAATATTTACAAAACAATAATAATAATAAAAATTCAATAAAAACGAATATAAAAATTAATTTTAACGGTGTTACCGCTACATTACCATTCTAAAATACCGGGGTGCTAGCGATTTTTCGACATATAACGGGATATTTGGCGAATTACAATCCTAAGAATCGCGAATTTCTACAATAGTTTCGGTTACAGCAAGTTCAACTCCTGTATAAGTTTTTCACGCCCCTGGAACTCCTTTTTGTCCTGGCATTTCTTTGTACCCAAAAAACATATTGTTACATAGTATCCACAAATTCATATTTAAATCATTTGTACAAAGTTGGTACAGGCCTGACGCTGGAAGCTGGCGGCATTTTAAAATGGCGTGGATCCGCGGTGGCAAAAGTAGGCAGTTTTAGGTATAACGATTGTAGCCCTCTTTCTTCAGTATTCCTATCAGGGGCGTAGATTAAATATTTAAAA